CAAGGCCTGGAATAGCCTGCCTCTAGAGGTGGTGCAAGCACCTACTCTGGACACTTTTAAGAAAACTTTGGATGTTTATCTTGCTGGGATCCTCTGACCCCAGATGACTTTCTGCCCCTGGGACAGGGGGCTGGATTCGATGATCTTCCGAGGTCCCTTCCAGGCCTAACATCTATGAAGTCTATGAAACCTCTGTGCAGTTCATCATATTTAGTCCCTCAGAGATCCTGTTGACAGGGGACCTTTACACCAATGCATTAAGAGGTAAATTTGCCTGTGGATTTACAGTAGTGTTAGTGAAATGCACTCTTTTTAATAGAGTTACTCTGGATTTACATCAGAACAATAGAACAGAGTTTGGCTCAATATTTTTCTGCTAAAAACATAAATGAGGTATTGTAGTTAATCAAAGAAATACCTGGGTATATTCATGCAATATGTGTTGTCTTTGATTTATGAATATATATTGGTTCCATGAGAAACAACAATAAAATATCACTTGTGGAGAAAAAGGGATAATAGCATGTTCCAAAATGTGCAATCAAGGACAGTGTGTGCATAGATATATGTGTATCCCTAAAGCTACCCCATATTTGTGTTTTGCTGTTTTAACTTAAAATTTGCTATCTTCATTTTTTGCTCCTTCTTTGAACTTTTTATTAGTTGAGATCAGGAACAGATTACAGAGGGGTGGTGATAGAGGCCAGCTATGGCCATGCTGTGAGGAGTGGGAAGCAGTAGGGAGGAAGGGAATGACAGAGAACAGAGTGGAGCCAGGGAGGCATATGAGATGGCAGAGACAATGCATAAAGGGCAGTAAAGAGCACTTTGGGCCACAAAGGAGTTTCTGGACGACCCATTACAGTTCTCCATGTGCTGAGATACAGGGAGAATTGCTATGCATGGCCAAACTGGCCTATAACAGCTGTACCACCCCAGCACCAGGTGCCTGCCCCACCCTAGTGCTGGCAGTCAGTCCTGCTCAATTTAGTCATATTTGTTTCTGTTTGGAACTTAAACAGAACAATACAGCTCTGCCTCCCTAGCATATAAGTAAAACTTCTAGTTTCTTTTTAAATTGGAGAAAAGGGTGCTAAGGCACATGGTTGACAGCCCAGGGGTTGCAAGTTTGAGGACATTGCAGAAGTGATGGCATGGCCCCATCAGATTCCAATGAATCTGCAGATTCTGCTAAATACCTGCTAAATACAAGGGCATGAAAAAGGAACCACACCACCTGCACCCCACTTTCAAAGTTCAATATCTGCCCATGGCTGAGATCACTGAACCTTCCTGTGGGCTACTGAGTTCCCCCTTATTTGTGGTTATAGCCTGTTTCCATACTTGGTCTGGTTGGTTTTGTATTTTGATGTCAGTGGTTTATATAGAGAGTTTACTGTATGGGTTTAGATAAGTATTAAATAATTAAACAAATACTTTTTTTCTTCCATTCCCCTTCCATCTTCAGCCTCCCCAAACTACCACCTAACCTACTACAGGAAGGTAAATCTCTCCTATTGGCAAGATCATTTCAAGATCCATTAGTGGACAGTCTTGGTAGAAGCAGCTTTAGGACTGATTAAAGGAGTTGTCTTCAGGAGAGGGTTAGAGTCTCTGAAAGGCTGGGTAGGACCCTCTTTTTTTTTTGTCTCAACCCTTCCTGACACAAATGTTGAGGTCTGCAGGCTTCTTTCCTTTGCACTTTCCAGGGCCCATTAGCTGAATAGCTTCAGGCACCAGCCTTTCCCAAAGACAAATGCTGAGTAACGAGAGCTGATGTAGACTGTTGTGTCCTTCGTATGTGGTGTTAAGATATCACTCATAGCTAAGGAATTTGACAGAAACTACTTCACTTCTTTTCTGATTTCTAACTGATCAGCATTGTATAGAATGAGTCCTGTAAAACAATAAGTGGTTGCAATGACCTTGTCTGGAAGCATCTTAAAGGAACAAGTCCCTCCTCCACACACATACCTCCTAAGACACACATCTTGTGTATCTATCACAATGTCCGTGTCTAATTGTCCAAATTTAATAGTTAAGAAAAGATTTTAAATGATACTGTTTAAATATATGTATATCCCAAAGGATGTACATACACACAGGCATGTGCAATAATATTGTACAGAGAAATAATTCCCCTTTTCCCTCAAAAATGTGAAAAGTTAGAAGCTTCTACATTATACTCTCTGACAGCATAGGATGAAATGTGCTAAATCCTGAATTGCTTCCAGGTTTAAGGTCCAGAATACTATGAGTCATTGGACATGAGAAAGGGCCCTTTAAAGAAAGTAAGATTCACTTCTTACCTCAGTGCATGTTCAACCTTTGCACATAAGCCTAGAAACTCATCATATTTTGGATTTTAAAATTGGCATTATGACTTGGTATTAAAACCTTGCTTAGGCCATTTTAGAGGTTTCTAATATTGTATTAGTTATAATTTCCCTCTCTCCATGAAGTTATTGCAGTAATTATGGCACCTGGCCTTTACAGGTGGAGGAGAAAAGTTTTCCATTCCTTTTTTTTTTTTAAAGCCCTTTAACACAGTTATAAAGTAGTTTTCTTTCTTTCCTGTACCATACATGGCATGTTAAGAATGTACAATCATGTGGTGTGGTATCATAATTGTATCAGTACCCACTTGGGACTGCTTATATATAACTCACTCCTGGTTTTGCCTCTTGTGAATAATACAGAGTGTGTCTACACATGCACCTGACTGTGCAGTTTGTACTTGCTAAAGCAAGTACTAAATGACTGCTCAGTAACCACTAGTACTGAACAGTCCTGGCACCACATGGGTCATTTCTGACCCTACGGTGCAGCAGCTTGTTCCTACTGTGCAGTAGTGGTAGCATCACAGTTCATTACATTGCCATAGAGATGAGCTATGTTGCCATAGCTCGTAGTTATGGCGATGTGGCTTCTCATGTAAATGCACCCACAGTAATCTCAAATTCATGCTGTGAAAGTTCTTGTTTCATATTTACTACATCTTTTACCATATTTACAACCTTATCCATAAGAAAACAGAGGCAGAAGCACAGAAAGAAACCAAAGAAGTAGTAGGGGCAGAGATATAAAATAACAATGAATGCCAGGAGCTAAATTGCTTTCATGAGATGCCTCCAATATAAAGGAACTTTCAACAGTTTGCAGAAGTCCATTTCATCCCAGTTAAGTGATTACTTTAATGGAAAAAGAGAACTTGGAAAGGTTATATTGTTTCAAAAGATGAATGAAGGATTCAAGAGAACCCAGTGAAATAATATTCTGTGTGACTGGTTTTATTATTGCTTCCGGGGAGAAGTTCTGTTTGGTTTGGAGAAGGTATTGCTGCAGACTTGCAGTCTCTGTTCTTTCTATGTACCGTATACACCATCAAAATTGACCAGGGTGCCTGTTATGTGGGACATTCGTCATCACAGAGTTGTGTGCACCACCTGCCTGACCCAAAATGTTGGTTTTTTTACTGCAAGTAATTTAGACTAGAAATATTAAATCCTGAAATTGAAGGGACAACGAATTATAATGTTATGCTAAATAAATGAATCCCTCGCCAATTCAAATGTCCCATAGGCATTTTATACTGTTTAATAAATACTGGGATCTTTGCCCTTTACTTAAGCACCTGCATATCAATAGATGTATGCCAATGATACCAGGCAGAATGGACAATCAGTCTGATCCAGTATGGCATATTTCTCTTCCTGGTACTCTGCCAAATGCATTTGCCTTTGAGCCAGAGAAAGTTCAAGAGTGCATGATATTTGAAGGCAGCCACCAGTCCAAAAGAGATTGACAGACCTGCTAAAACCCCTTGATAGATTTAACAGGATTTCTCAGTCCCAGGTAGTGCATGGAGGGAGACTCACAGCAACGGTAGAACAGGAAAGGAAGTGCTGCACATTCAGTTATTCTTTGAGAGTTGAGATCAAGACCTAGCTCAGCCACCCATAACTGTCATGAGTAAATCTAACGTCTTCTTTCCTTTTATTCCCATTTGTCAGCTCAGCAGCAGTAATGGAGCTGACTGAAGTCTTGGTCTAGCTATACTGTAACCTTAATCACATAGGGCAAAATTCTGTCCCCTTGCCATGGCTGAATAGCTGAGCTTCATGCAGAGAGATTTCCCAAAAAAGGATTTCCATAGAGGAAAGGAATACTCTTCAAGTTACAGTGGAGAACTATGAGACTGAAGCAGGCTGTGCAAATCCTACAGCAGTGAGTTACTTACTGCTGAAGCAGCATAGATGGGAAGTTACTTAACTTTTACACGGGAAACCTGGGCTCTGGCTTTGTTATCAACCTGCTGGGTGACCTTGGACAAATTGCTTCATCTCACTGTGCCTCTCTTGTTTTTGCCATGTATGAAACAGGAACAGAAATAGAAATCTTTACAAAACACCTTGAGGTTCACTGATGAAAAGAGCTATTTAAAAGCTAGGTGTTTATATCATAATACTTCTACAAATCTGCCTAGCATCTGTAAGAAAATGTCTTTTTAAGAGGCTCTGTGGCATGACCCAGTAGAAAGCAGTCATGATGTGATGCAAAGGCTTGTGGTACAACATGTGGATCAGTTAAGACACAGAACTGATCTCAGTTTAAAATGGAATTAAGTAGACCTCTGTTGGACTCCTTGGTTTTGGGTCATTAGTGAACAACACACAATATAAGGATCAGGGCAAATTAAGAAATACCTAGAGTGGACTAATGAAGGAATTTAAAATGCTATCAGAATTGAAATTCTCTGGAACTGTAAAAGAAAGCTAAAGACAGTTTAAAAAGAGCTGTATTTTATGTCTTCAAGCAATGGGCACCAACAAAAGATACTGCTATTTCTGATAAGAGATGCAGGTGAAGCATCCAATATCCTTAATGCTTTTTTAGTTAACTTAGGCAGAAGGAACTACCTATGAAACCACATTATACAAATCTGAGGAACAATTCAGGCAGAACAATGTAGGCAATACAAAAATGAAACGTAGCAAAGGCATATTTTTAATGGAAAAAAAAAAAACCAAAAAGTTCTTTTACTCTTGAAAACATAGAAGAACTGATGATGATCTGAGGCTGAAGAAGAAATTTTGTAATGTTGGAAAACTGGATCCCTGATGAAAGCAAGTCATGATTGGAATCTGCAACAAAAATAGTCAGAAATATTACCATAAGACTCAGAATTAACCCTTAACTTACAGTTTGAATGTGTTGGTCAAAGGAAGTCACCCAGTGGAGAGAACAGCGTATAGAATTACACATGCTGTGAAAAACAACACAGTCCAAAACAATGTAGCATTGGGTTTAACAAAATGCAAGAACTGTAATGGATTATATCATTTAGCAAAAGTTTTCAAATGCTGGCAAGGTAGGAATAAGGCATAAACAAGAGACTGTAGACAACATCATTAGTTCAGAGGAATTTTTCATAGAAGCAAAGGACAAGCTTGCAGGAGAAAATGAATAGAATATTAACCTGAAAGAAAATGGGGCATTTTAAGTAGGACAAAGATGCACAAGACAATGTGATACTAGAAATAGTGATATTAGTATGCAAGGAAAGGCTCTAGGCAGTAGAAGGTAAACAGCTAAAAGACAGAGTTTGTAGCAGTGAGCTTATTCCCAGAAAGCAAGTATATGAACTCAATATATGAGTAAACAACACACTGGAAAATATACAATTTTGAATAATACCAAAAAAAAAGGCTTTAAATGGGTTAAAAACATACCATTCCTTTGTTTTCATTGCTGCCATTAGAGAAGCAGGGGACAGAACAACTGAGAACATATTTGAGGGTGTCTTCTATGGTATAAAGATGGTCTTAATAGTGTGGGGAATAGATTGGAAAAAGTGTATCATACAGGTAAAGCTCCTAAGAAAATTCACTCAACCTGAGGTGAAGAGACAGGGAGAAAAGAGTTTCATATTTTTATTTATAGGCCTAATCTAGATAAAATTTGCCATAAACCACTTCTTGATATTGGCAACATAGGCCTATCAAACCTATTGTAATGGAAGAACTGGAGACTTATTAGCTATTGTAATGGAGGAACTGGGGGGCAGTCTGCAGAGCTGTGCTGACTGTTGATTTGGACTGCAAGTCCCTGAAACCCCCTGGGGGGGAAAGGGGAAAAGCAAAAGGAAGTTTGAGGCTGAAGTAAAAGGGAAGAGCAGCGTGCACGGGGAACCTGGTCAGCTCTACACAGAGAAGCGCACAGTGGAGCTGGAGATCTCACTGGCTCAGTCAGCCAGGACTGTGGACTAAAGGAACTGAACTTGGATTTAGGGGCAGCTGCAGGCTGCTGTTTGAGCACTCTAGAGATTAAAGGCTTGTTCGGGGACATCTCCGGAGATGTGGGGAGGAAACTAAGGTGCTGAGTGTATGTTACCACAAGGTTGATGTTTCTTTACCTTTTACCTGTTCCCTTCCCTCCCTTAGACCCTTTGGCTTGTGACCCTAACCCCTATGTTTTTTATATAAAAGTGGAAACTTCCTATTGCTTCTTGTGCCAGTTTCTGGGGCTGCAGGGTTGGCACACTATAAATGGAGGATATGTAAACTGAATACTAACAAGGGAGAAATTAAGTCATTACGAAAAAATTATTAAAGCATTTGGCAAAAGAGAAGTATAACAAAGTCCATGTCTAAGTCATGTACATGTAAAGCCAGAAGTACAGAATATTTTCCTGTCTGAGGTGAGATATAGCCTGTGATTATCAGAGTTGCTGCTGAGGATGAAAACCTTCAAAAGTAATTATGGTTATAGTACAGGGTGCTTTGAACACCAGATGCCCAGGATCTGTTTTCAGTTTAAGAGAAGTTCTTAGTATAGTTTAAGAGGAGCTCTTGTGTTAGATTTTGTTTTAAATATACCAAGACGGTAAGTCCTAAAGTGTTATAAAAACCCGTTTAGAGGGATATATAACAATCATTTATAGATTTCTAAAATCTAAGAAATGTTTTATACAGATCTCAGTGATTTTGAGGATTCTATTAAGGACTGTTACATATCCCAAAAATAAAAGTCAAGCATAGGTCAAATCAAGTGAAAGAAACCCACATCAACAGTATAGGAAAAATTGGCACCCTAGAGCACAGTAGGAATATATTTATTCATGTTGGCAGAACCGTGCCCCTCCCCCCCCCAAAAAAAACTTGTATTTATCGTAGTCTATTATTCTTACTTCCCTGAGATAACCTTACTAAATGCTTTGAGAGCTATCAAATCTATGTTTTCTCTTAGGCACAGTATACCAGATAAGAAAAAATAGTTCCCTAGGACATGCAATGAAGTATGGGATGTAGACATATAATTGATAGTACTAATTGTTCTCAATCCAAAGAAATGGTATTCAAATACTAAAACTCCTACTTAAAAGACTTTGAAATCAGACATTGTTCCATATTTAGCACTGTTAAATTATAGAACATCACTAATGAAGTATGGGCTGTTGCCTGCTGATACTTTGTTAAACAAACAAATAAAAAGCAGAATGCCTGATCTCAGTGTCACTGGGGACTTACCAATATATTATGAGACAAATAAATAAAAACAATACTCCGTAGGGTGTAGATCCATTGGAGCTGCTAGTATTTCATGAGAGTGGAAAACAATTGTTGCAGGTGTGTCACAGATTCATTAGAGGAGAACTTAGGGTCATAGGAAAATAGTGCTGGAAGAGACCTCATGACATCATTTACTCTGACACCACATCCAAGGCAGGATCATCCCAGGCAAGTGTATATCTAACCAGCTCTTGAAAATTTCCCCAGCTTCTCTAGGTACCCTGTTCAGTGCTTAACCACTCTCATAGTCAGAAAGTTCTTCCTACTATGCAATATAATTATTTTCTGTAGCAGTTGAAGCCACTGATCTTAGTCCTGCAACCACAGAAAACAGTCTATCACTATCCACTTTACAGTCACCCTTGAAGCATTTGAACACTGATATGAAATCCTCCTAAGTTTTCTCTTATCCACACAAAGAAGCTTTTCTTCCTAAGTGATATTTCCCAGGCCTCTGAACCCTTTTTTCATAGAAATCATAAAAAAGTAAGACTGGAAGGGACCTCCATAGCTTATTTAGTCCAATTCATTGCCTCAGGCAGGATTAATCCCTATATCAGTCTCTACTGGATTATTTCCAAACTGTCCACATCTTTCTTGAGTGTGGGACCCAAAACTAGACACAATACTCCAGGCAAGGCCTCACCAGTGCTGACTAGAAAGGAAGAATCACTTCTCTTGACTTGCAAGAGACACTCAGGTTAATGAAACCCAACACACTGTTGGCTCATTCAGTTTATAGTACACTGTAACTCCCAGGTCCTTCTAGGATTGCCAGCTCTCTCGAATCTTTCCAGAACACCAGCGTGCCCATAATACACAACACGAACATGTCCATGTGCTTGCGTATATCAGTTACAGATTACAGTGTGCAGAATTATGTCAGGAAGGCAAATGTGCATTGCTATTGCATTTTAAAAACTCACTGGGCCACTGTATAAATTGGATTCAATGTTTAATATGTATTTTAATGAATGCTTAATATTTATCTCCTGGGTGACTTTCAGTAGTCTTCTGGAGATTTATACCTAATTCCTGGAGATTCCAGGGCAATCCTGGAGGGTTGGCAACCCCAAGTAGGGCTCTGTGAAACGGCACTGTTCCGTTTCAACTTCAGTTTCAAGGTTTGAATGGAACAGTGTTTTGTTTCAAATTTCATTTTGAGTTGAAACAGCCTCACCGTTTCGACGTTTCACCTGGCCATTTAATTTTGCTGTTTTGAGCTCAAAATGTGTTGAAACAATGTCGAATCAAAACAGCCGGTGAAATTTCACACAGCCCTAATCGTAAATCCTTCTCCGCAGTACTGCAGCCTAGCCAGTCATTCCCCAGTGTGCATTCCTACATGCAATTATTCCATCCCAAGTGCATGACTTGGCACTTGCTCTTGTTGAACTGATTTTGGACCATTTCTAGATCCTACCCTTTGAAATATCTGCAACTCAACCCAACTTGATGTCTGTGACTGGGTGGCCAAGACACCCTGCCACAGTCAAGCAAAGAAACGAAACTTACCGGAGGACTCTGAAGAAACCAAGCCAAGCTGAGGAGGGAAAGATGCCGTGTCCCACCTAATTAAAGGAACTGGCTGGGGCTGGGGCTGCGGCAATTCAAAGGCTGCCACGGCAAGCCCAGCTGCCAGAGTTTGAATCTGGGTGAAGAAAAATGGCACAGCAGCCAGAAAAGAGAAAGAACACGTTGAAAAAGAAAAACAGCTGTGTCCAGAAGACAGTGAATCAGATGCTGCCATGGGGGACATGGTGGGGAAGAAAGGGAATTTAAAGAGACGCTGAAGGGACAGCCGGGGTCAGCCCAGAGAAGAGGAGAGAGAGGTGCAGATAAATAGGACACCGAGAGAAGACACAAATAGGAACCAATGCTGAGGCTTGGAGGAAAGCCTTGGTCCCCAGACTTACCTGAGGAGAGCCAGTGAAGTGATGGAGGCCACCACCCTGTTAGTTGGTCCAGTCCCAAGTTGTAAAGAGAACTGCTTTGGGACCCTAGAAGAAAGAATAGATGTGGATGAGATTACACCTCCAGGAGAGGTGAGTCTATTTCAGCAATGAAAGTAAGGGTGGGATTAGAGAGACAGCTCTCTTGGGATCTGTGTGGGGAAGAATGGAGCAAGCAGCCAAATTAGCAGGAGACCCCCAGCTAGGGGGTTCACAGGACTAAGACCAGACTCTCTGTCTAGTAGGCAAACAACAACAAGGCCGGAGCCTCTGGTGTGGTTAGGGCAGAATTTGGGAATGGTGGAGCCCTGAAAAGACAAGTGGGCCTCTTGAGACTTTAACTAAGCTTTTGTCTCCCAAAATGTTTAGTACCTTTCTAACCATCAAAGGCATGGCAGGAAATGTTAAAGAGCAGAACATTACTGTCACAACAGAGACACAACTCAGCCCCAGGTAGCACAACTGTGCTCCCTTACAACGTCATATGCAAATTTGTTAAGTGTACAGCAAATTCCACTGTCCAGATCATTAATGGTTTAGAATCATAAAAAGTTAGGGTTGGAAGGGACCTCAGGATATCATCTAGTCCATCCCCCTACTCAAAGCAGGACTATCCCCAACTAGATCATCCCAGCCAAAGCTTTGTCTAGCTGGGTTTTGAAAACCTACAATGATGGAGCTTCCACCACCCCTCTGGGTCACCCAGTCCAGCATTTTACTACCCTCCTAGTGAAAATATTCCTCCTAATATCTAACCTAAACTTCCCTTGCAACAACCTGAAACCATTTATTTTTGTTCTGTTAACTGCCATCACTGAGAATAGTCTACCTCTATCCTCTTTCAAATGCCACTTCAGGTAGTTGAAGGCTGCTATTAAGTCCCATCTCAGTCTCCTCTTCCATAGACTACATAAGCCTAGTTCCCTCAGTCTTTTTTCATAAGTCATGTCCCCCAGCCTCCTCATCATTTTTGTTGCCCTTTGCTGGACTCTCTCTAATATGTCCATATCCTTTCTGTAGTAGGGGCCCAAAACTGAACATAGTATTCCAGGTGTGACCTCACCAATGCTGAATAGAGGGGAATAATCACTTCCTTTTGTCTCCTAGCCTCCTGGGGAAGCCCACATAATACCTTATCCTTACTAGACATTTGAGTCATTGATGACTACTCTTTGCATATCATCCAGCCAGTTATGTATTCATCCTTAGAGTACTTTTTTCGAGTGTCTATTTCCTTAGCTTATTAAATGAGAATCTGGTGGGAGATAGCATTGAAAGCCTTGCTAAAGTCAAGGAATGCACATGTCCTGCTCTTCATCCATCCACAGAGCCCATCACCTTATTAAAAAGGGAAATCAATTTGGTCAGACTTGCTTGGGACCCTAGCCTTACACAGTCTATTGGAGTACCCTATGAACCATACCTAGGCATAACTTCTAAAGTGAGTGATCCCCTGGTTTCTTAGATTCTGAGGTCTGGCCTTTTGGTCCCTGACACTCCTCCTATCCCCATTATCCATACTCACTTCAGAAACCTACTTCTGGCCTAGCTGCTGGAGAGAGACTTTTCCTTTTAAAGGAGATTTGGGGCACACAGTGAAGCAGGCAGCTCTTTTTAAACAAAAACAGTATTTGTTAATCAACAGTAATACAGTGGATCACAAAACCTAGATTAACTCCTAGATAGTCACTGTCAAATAAATAGTTCCAACTGTTCTCTCAAGAGTCTCAGGCTCCTCTTGTCCTACCTTCCCTCTCTCCCCCCACTTCCTTTAAGACCATCTGTTTAGACAGCACTACCCTAAATCTTCAAGTGCTTGGTCTTGAATCCATTGTTTGTTGGTGTATGCAGATTGGTTTGTTGCTTGCAGGATGGTTCATTTTCCCTTACGTGAGCAATTAGGCAGATCCTCATAAGTCTGCTTCAAAGCACTCCAACTCATCCAGGGAAACTGAAACATAACATAACAGCTGAAATCATTATTTTAATATAATAAAAGCCTTACCATTCCCACCTGTCTGTCCATAATGCTCTACGCCAGCTGCTCATGAGCGTCTTAGAGCCTTAAGACAGACAGAAAGACAGGCAGAGGCAGAAGTGAGGGCAGCTCCCTGCTGTACTCCCCACTCGAGGCTGTGCTCCCCACTGTGGCGCGCACTGGGGGACCAGCTGTGTGGAGGTGTGGTTTGCTGCTGTGGGGGTGTGGTGCATGGCTGTGCAGGGGGGGCATAGAGCATGACAGCAGGGAGCCCCAAAAGGAGCAGGCATGGGGGCAGGGACAACACAGCAGCAACACATGGCTGCAGGATGGGGCACCACTGCCACCCACTCCCTGAATGGTACCCTGTGGCAGCATGCAATGCCCCCTCTGGGACCACGCCCCCTCCCCCCCACATGGCTGCAAGTCACACCAACCCACACAGGGAGCACTAGCTAGCTGCTGCTGTGTGGGGGTGTGGTGTGTGGGCACACAGCCACAAGGTGCCACACAGGAAGCCATGGTGGGGAGCATGCCCTGCACAGCTCCAGGGGGCCATGAGGACAGTAGGCAGGGAGGAGTGGGCAGCACATACCGGCTGCAGCATGCAGCCGCGGGGCATGGCAATCCCCCTGCTCTCTCCTTATGTGGAACCCTGTGCCCACACACCATGTCCTCCTGCACAGAGCCACAAGCCATGCCCCCCATGTGCCATGTCTATGTCCACTCTGCACTGGGAGCACCTGCAAGGCTGCGGGTGGCAGGGTGTGCAGGAAGAGGGTGGGGCATGGTGTGCAGCTGCAGGGTGCTGCATGGGGAAGGGACATATGGAGAATGGGCAGCGCCCACTGCCTGTAGGATGCGGCTGCTGGACAGGGTGCACCCCCCCACCAGCTGGTTACAGGCCATCGGGGGACATGGCATGCAGTTGCAGACAGCCCTGAGGTGAGTGAGCAGGGTGGTGCGGGCATCACCCACTGGCTGCAGCATATGGCCATGGGGTGAGGCATGGCCCCGATCTGCTCTATGAATGCCATGCCCCTCCCTGCGCTTCATGGCCCCCCCACATGGGGAGCACCTGCCAGTTGCAGCCGCAGGGCACACACCGCACAATGGCAGTGCATGTGGCTACAGGCTGCCACAAGGGGAGCGGGCGTGGCTGTGCGGAGGTGTGGGTGGCTGCCGTGGGGGTGTGGTGCATGGCACGCAACAGCAGGGAGTCCCAAAAGGAGTGGGCACGGGGGTGGAGACAACACAGCAGCAACACATGGCTGTGGGGTAGGGCACACACCCCCACCCACTCCCTGCACAGTACCCTGTGGTAAAGCACAATGGCCCCTCTGGCATCACACTGAGTGTGGGCAGTGTCTGCCAGTTGTAGCACACTGCTGTGGAGTAAGGCCCTTCCTCACACGCGCACTCCCTGCACAGCTCCCTGCAGCTGTACACCACCATCCCCTGAATGCCACACTCCCATGCACCCTCTGCCACACTCCAGGGCCATGCCACATGCCAAATGGCTGCAGTTGACAGGTGCTCCACATGCCTTGGCTGCTCCCCACGCCAATCACCCCCTGCACCATGCATCCATTCACCACATCCCCCTGCACACCCAGTGCCACCCCAGGGCCAAGCCCCACACTCCCCCTGCTGTGGACACTCCCCATTCCATGTCCCCTATGTGCCGGCAGGCACTCCCCACATCATAAGCTGCAGCCATGCAACACCCCCCACCCCCTGCACACCCTGCACCACACCCCAGAGCCTCTCCTAATACAACATAGCCATCAAGTGTTCTTTGCACCATGGCCACTCCCCATGTCACACCTCGTAGCCACTCACTATGTCACCTCCATGCAGCCTTGCACTAAGCCCCCTTGCTGGTCTCTGTCCCTGGCCCCCCTCTGCCCCATCATTCATCACAGGCATTTTACTAGTTGTAACATAAACACATTTAACCCATAAATATGATAAATAGTACCACAGTCTGTCACAAGGTGTATCATAAACCCCAGAGGCATACATGGTCATCTTCACAGTAGACATTTCACGTGGAAAAGCAGCTTGTCCTATCTCCACATTCCAGAAGTGAGGGAGTTAAAAGGACCAAGTCATCCATTTTACCCAAGAAGGTATGAGAGATGGGTGGGCTGCCAGGACATGACACAGCCAGAAATAATAGGATTACTAGTAATAATAGGATTACTAATTGGAAAACATAGTGAAGATCCTTTTAGTAAAGTCCATACAATCATGCAAGGCATCTCAGAAAGTAATTTCTGTTAGTTTAGTTACTACACTAGTTATAAATAACTGAGTAACAGAGAATAAGTAATTCTGTATTATCCTAATAGTAATGGTTAATTTTTCATATTGTGGTAGTGTAAGACTGAGATTGTACCCACGATGGTCCAGAAATTATGTGAAAGGCAACAACTTCCTTGTATAATATTGGACAAGTTATATAGTTGGTTGAATAAAAGATATTACCCTAAGAAATTCTTGCCTGGGTTAATTTTTAGTACCTTTATATTTATCTGAGGCCAAAAGGTATGGAGAACAGCATGCTTGAAAGGGTCTAGCTTGAGTCAGTTGGAACCAGCTGTTGGAGTCTGTAGAAACTTGTGTTTTGCAGTGATGATCCATTCAGAAACTAAATGAAGCAGATCTCCATCAAACTCCTTGGATCTGATTAATTTCTAAACTGGCAACTGAATTTCTATCAAAGTAGAAGGGTAGTTGCAAGAAGGATTGGAGAGGAGGGTGGTATTTTCTTTCAGAAACAGATTTCTGGGTATGACACCCACACCTCTATGATTAATTAATGCTGATCCTCAGGAGAGGGTTGCCCTTTATAGAAATGTTTGGGCAAAAATCTTCAGTCCAGCTGATAAAAGCATTATACCTTCATGAGCGCTCCAGCCTCTACTAGTGCTAACAGGCATCTGGAGTGCAGGTTGTGTTTTGCAGCCTCCTTCTGTCAATCATGTCTAAGGTGTTTCCTTTCATTTATAGGAACAAAATTACATATAAGAACAATCTTTATTTTCACAATAACTTTGAGAACAGTATAAACAAAAAGTGTTTCAAAATTGCCCAGCTGCTACAAAATATTCCATTAGCATTTAGAGAAAAAAATCTTGTTACTTGCTTTTGCCCAGCATCTGTAATAATATTTCAGTAGGGTGCTGTTGTTTCCAGACAACACTTGGTCTTATGGCCAGTTCTGCCATCCTTTCCTGAGATACTCTTGAGATGCTACACTGGTCTGAACCCGTATGGTCCTGGCAATTATCAGGCCTCTGATATACTGTAGGCAGTTCTACATGTGAAATTAGTGTGCCTGATAAATTCTGTTACAGTTTGCACCTGAGTTTATTGCTCCTGGGAGCAACATTTACACATGTGCTCAGAACCTCAGCACATTGAGCTGAGGTGGTGCAGCCCCAGCTGGTAGGAGGCCAGAAGGTTCAGCCTGCTATCCTGGAGCTGCTCCTGCCTGGCTCAATGTGTTAGAGGGGCTGGCTGGGGCAAGCAGCCCCTGTACTGTAGCACCCTCATGCCCCAACCAGCCCTAGCAATGTGTACACATACATTGTGGTAGAGTAAATAACTCTGCTGTAGGATAGTACATGTGTCAGGCAGCATTATCCTGTGGTGGAGTTAATTAGTCAACTCTGCAGAAAAGAGCATGTGTAGATGCCACCAGTTGCACTTTATGCTTTCCTCTTAAAAGGATTAAAATAGGGCCACTCCTCAAGGAGCCAACAATATGTGGGTCAACTTTTAAATTAATATTGCAAAATGTGAAACACACAAGTCACTTGGAAATAAATATAACTTGACAAAATAGTTATTATTATTATTATTACTATTATTATTACTACTACTAGACAATTGCCTGTCAAGAATGATGGGGAGTGGGGGGTGGGGGCAGCTGGGGACAGGCTCGCTGTGCCTCTCCCCCACTGCTTCAGAACAGGGGCTGGGCTGCCCACCCTCTACCTGCTGGCCCCGCACCTCCATCTGCTTGGTTGCTGCTGCCTGCAGGGTCAGGGGGCCAGGGCTAGTGGCCCTGGCCTTGCCATGGGGGGGCAGGTTCAGTGCACTGACTGGTCTGCCCCATCACCTGCTGGGGGCAGGGGGGGGCAGTTGGGGACAAATGCCAGGCTCACTCCTCCCACCCTGGCCCCTACTGCTTCAGGGCCAGGGATACTTCCCCCAACCCCCAACTGGGCGACTGGTGGGGACAGAGCCCAGCATCCAGCCCTGCACCCCCGCTCTCCTCATGTGCCCCCATCCCCCAATTTGGGTCAGACCCTGTTCCCCCGCCCCCGCCCGGTCGCTTCTGGCTGGACCCCATTCCCCCCAGCAGTTTGGGTTTGGGGCCGCTCCCCCTGTCCACCCTTTGCCATGGCAGCCCAGACACTGCCTCCCTCTCACGCTGATGCTGATGCCTCCTCCACAGACCGGGGGGGCACTCCCCCTAACCCCCACTCCACCAGACGCTGGCCCTCTACTTCCTCTCCATGTCAGGAGGAAGCAGTGTGGGAGAGAGAGGGGGTGAGGCCAGCAGTGCTGGCCTCAGCCCCGCCTTCCATATTCACTACCTGCAGGGAGAGGAGGGGCCAGGCCAGCGCTGCTGACCTCACCCCCTCCGCTGTCCCAACCCCATTGCCTCCCTGTGCTGCTGCTGCCACTTCCATTTTGTGTTCTCTGTTGCCGCTGACTCCAGGGAGCAGGGCAGCTACTCCCACTGCATCCCCTGTGTCCCCACCATCATGGTGGTACTCCACTGTGCTACCACCTCCTGTCTGAATGCTATATTTGCATTCTGATTGGTTGATTCTGTCAGCCAATCAGAGTGCAAATAAAGTATTATGGACAAACAGATAGACAGACAGACAGGCAGACAAAGCTTTTATATTATTATTATTATTATTATAGAGAACAAAAGTCATAATCATATTTAT